CATGCATTTAGCATTTCTTGCAAGTTTCCAGAATAAGACTGTTCACATTCCAGGGAATCTTCACCTATCTCAGAGATACAGTTATAAAATGGAAAGCAAAAGATTCATTTGGTGCTGGATTAGAGCTGGGGGAGATGCTGGACATGCACTTGGTTAACCAGGTCAACAACTGCTGAGGTCCGGTGGTTGCAGTGGCAACGGCTGGTGAAAGAAGAACCACTCTAAGCCCTATGACAATGGTGGCTGGTGAAAGAACCACTCAAAGTCTTACCACAATGGTGGTGGCAACGGTGGCAGTGGCTGAGGTGGGGAGTGATAAAACACCAATTGGAACTCTAATTGAAGTTTTAATTGGAACAGTAATTGGAACAATTCAACCATAAATTTGAAACATTAGACTAAACTGGAGAAAAGGCCACCATAGCTATCATAAGAGCCCTAATATAAAAGAGTGGCTGGCACTAGGCCTCAAATTTACACCCTGCAAAGCCTTGCAAAGGTATATTTACTTTGGCATTTCGAAGTTGGTTTCTAATTTACTTTGTTACTTGAAGAACATGTTCAATTTTCACTTTTACCTTGCTACTTGAAGGACATGTTTAATTTTCACTTTGCACTAATGAGGTACAAAAGTATTTTAGTGTTCCCAAAGCAAACTTGTACATTGTAACACAGATAATATTCTATCAAATATTATTAAGAATATTGTAAGAATATCCTGGGTCTAACCAAATGAAGCTGATGTGGATTAGGTCTAGGGCAAATGGGAAATGTGCTATTGTGCATTCTCATAAACCTACTAGATTCATAGATTGATTGTGGAAATTAATTTGTTCTTGTGTTGATCCTTAGGGATAGATAACCCCAAATAGTTATAGCCAATTAATATTGTTGAGAATTGTTCTACTCTTTCAAAGTTGGTTTTTGAAGAATCAAAGAAACATCTTTATGAAAAAGATTATCCTTTTTAGTACACATGTTGTACTTCATCCTCTACTTGCCACCATAGGATAAACTTAAGGAAAATTGAATTTCCTCTCAATTTTGAATATTTTATTTTTCTTCTTCTTTTTATTGGTTGAAGTATCAATTTTTTCTTCTATTGTTAAAGATCTTCATCCTTTAATCTGATCTCAAGTCCTTCACTAAATAAGGAATCATGAAGCTCTTGCCTTGCTATATACTGTTGATTTATCTTTCTTTTCTCCCTCCTATTAGCCTATATACCATTCACTATAGAGAATGAGACTTATATAAATGCCATAAATGAGAAAAAGTTTATAAAATGCATAAAAATATCTTATGGAAAGGTTTTTGCCATGATATTCAAGTCAGTCTTTACTTTTCTATTATGGTGGATGATAATGCTAATAGAAGTTTAGAAGTTCATTTTATCATATACATCTTTTTCCATATGCAAGAAGAAGAAAAAGTCTAAATAAAACTTTCTTTCTAAAATTGATGTTAGATGAAGATTCTATAAGTAAATATAAAACCATCAAAAAGGTTTTAAAAGAGATGACCTTGAAGAGGGAAAATATATTGCTATTGAAACTAATAGAGCTTTTGTTATATTTGAAGAACAATCTGAAATAGGATATTCCACACTTTCTTTGAGTGCATTGCTTAGCTCATAGATAAAACTTATTAAATGCATGCATTTCCTATTGGAAGGTATAATGATACATTAGTTATCTCATAAGGAAGTCTTAGAGAGAATGATCATCATAATGTCAACTTTTCTTACAGAATTTTAATTTTCTTTTATGAAGATATACTAGCTTTTGACAAATTATATATTGCAATTTGCTATTCATATGCTAGCTAATATACTTCTTGAATTGAATAGTTTTAATAAAATCTTTCAAGATAAATTATGTTGCTGGGTATTTAGATGATACTTGAAAAGTATTAAAAGAAACTTCTAAAAGAGACTCTTGGTGTGAAATACTTTAGTAATTTTGTAAAGGTTATTAAAGATAGATTTATTAAGTTTGTAGATGTTAGAGGGGAACAACATGAATATATATTAAATTATACTCTTATTCCAAATAGCAAAAGAGATGGTAGGTTGAGCTTTTGCTTAGATTTAAGTAATGAGTGTGTTCAAAAACTATATGTTAATATACTAACCAAAATGGGAAAAGATATAACTATGTTCAGTGCTACAAAATTATTTAATCCAAAAAATTAAGGAAGAATTGAATAAAAACTATTACAAATGGCCAAATATATTATTAAACCAATATAATGCTCTTGTAGATGGGGAAAAATGTAAAGGAAAACTCACAAAATTTATAATTGTTATGTTAAGTAATCTATTAACAAAATATAGGCTCATGGCTTGGCAAATATGCAAAAATGATATTTGCATAATCCTTCTATATTTAAAAGAGCAAGGGTGACATGTTTAATTGAGATTCTTTTTGAGTTTAATGGTGGAGATAAAGACATGTGAAAAACAGTTGAGAGTGGAACATTTTTATTTTTTAGGGTAAATCAATTTTTTCAAAGAATTTTTCCAGAAGCTCATAGCAAAAATGATATTTGTATAATAGATA